CCTGAAGTTCTTTTCCACAACTTGCCACACCTCACCACCAGATGTCAGGGTGGAGCTCATCCTGACACTGCTTACATTTCTATTAAAAGTCTTCTTTTAAGAAAACTGAATGCTTTTTCATTGTTCTCAGATCCAAGGGTTTGGGTCTGTGGTCACCTACGCAAATTGGTGAGGCTTTTTATCCAACATTTCCCAGGAAAGGTGGGGGGTGCAAGTGTTGGGAGGATTGTTCATTGTTCTTAAGATCCAAGGGTCTGGGTCTGTAGTCACCTAGGCAAATTGGTGAGGCTTTTTACCAAACCTTGTCCAGGAAGTGGGGTGCAAGGTTTTGGGAAGTATTTGGGGGGAAAGACATTTCCAAACAGCTCTTCCCCAGTAACCAGTATTTGTTTGGTGGTGGTAGCGGCCAATCCAAGGACAAAGGGTGCAATATCTTGTACCTTGAGGAAGTTTTGACCTAAGCTGGTAAGGATAAGCTTAGGAGGTTTTCATGCAGGTCCCCACATCTGTACCCTAGCGTTCAGAGTGGGGGAGGAACCTTGACAACCTATCTCTCCATTTCATCTTATAGGGAGCCTAGGCACCTAACTCAGGCTTTGTGGATTGTGGTTTTGTTCCTGTGATTTTCTATGTGCCTAAAAGTTAAGCACCACAATGCTCAGTGATGTGTTATCTGAATCCCTTTATAGATCTGGGCCTATGTCCTTTAAGATTTTAGAATTAGTAGATCTCATCTTCTAATTTTTATTCATAGATTGGAAGAGGAAAATAAGCTTTCCTATTTTTTTCAGCTCCAAATTAGTTTCTTAACTTTGAATGAACTAGTCACTCAAGTGAATAAATTGAAATGAAAAAAAATTCTCTGCATCTGCAGAAGAGGCCATTGCTATCAAAAGTTGGTTTAGTACTTCAGCAGACTCTGGTTCCAGGTACTTAGCCCGTGACTTCCATCATTCAGGGGTTTGACTTTCTTTAAAATTTCAAGAGCAAATAGATCCTACTTCATATTATGTTTTTATTTAATTTAGATTATGTCAATAGATTATAATAAGTTTATGCGTTAACATAGGTTGTCAATTATATATTTAATTTTAAATAGGCTTATTTTGGAAAAAAAACTGTATTCAATTTAAATTTTAAAAAAATCATTTTTTATTTAAAAAGTCCTCGATTTTTATCCACATTGGTAACAAATGGGTTTGGGAGAGTTTTTCATTGTATTATTGTAGCTGCACCTGAATCCAGTCAACATCATCAGCTATGAAAGTTTCAAGTCTAAAGCTGGTTTCAGAGTAACAGCCGTGTTAGTCTGTATTCGCAAAAAGAAAAGGAGTACTTGTAGCACCTTAGAGACTAACCAATTTATTTGAGCATGAGCTTTCGTGAGCTACAGCTCACTTCATCAGATGTATACCGTGGAAACTGCAGCAGACTTTATATATACACAGAGAATATGAAACAATACCTCCTCCCACCCCACTGTCCTGCTGGTAATAGCTTATCTAAAGTGATCATCAGGTGGGCCATTTCCAGCACAAATCCAGGTTTTCTCACCCTCCACCCCCACACACAAATTCACTCTCCTGCTGGTGCTAGCCCATCCAAAGTGACAACTCTTTACATAATCAAGTCGGGCTATTTCCTGCATAAATCCAGGTTTTCTCACATCCCCCGCACCCCCATACACACACAAACTCACTCTCCTGCTGGTAATAGCTCATCTAAACTGACCACTCTCCAAGTTTAAATCCAAGTTAAACCAGAACATCTGGGGGGGGGGGGGGGTAGGAAAAAACAAGAGGAAACAGGCTACCTTGCATAATGACTTAGCCACTCCCAGTCTCTATTTAAGCCTAAATTAATAGTATCCAATTTGCAAATGAATTCCAATTCAGCAGTTTCTGGCTGGAGTCTGGATTTGAAGTTTTTTTGTTTTAAGATAGCGACCTTCATGTCTGTGATTGCGTGACCAGAGAGATTGAAGTGTTCTCCGACTGGTTTATGAATGTTATAATTCTTGACATCTGATTTGTGTCCATTTATTCTTTTACGTAGAGACTGTCCAGTTTGACCAATGTACATGGCAGAGGGGCATTGCTGGCACATGATGGCATATATCACATTGGTGGATGTGCAGGTGAACGAGCCTCTGATAGTGTGGCTGATGTTATTAGGCCCTGTGATGGTGTCCCCTGAATAGATATGTGGGCACAATTGGCAACGGGCTTTGTTGCAAGGATAAGTTCCTGGGTTAGTGGTTCTGTTGTGTGGTATGTGGTTGTTGGTGAGTATTTGCTTCAGGTTGCGGGGCTGTCTGTAGGCAAGGACTGGCCTGTCTCCCAAGACTTGTGAGAGTGTTGGGTCATCCTTTAGGATAGGTTGTAGATCCTTAATAATGCGTTGGAGGGGTTTTAGTTGGGGGCTGAAGGTGACCGCTAGTGGCGTTCTGTTATTTTCTTTGTTAGGCCTGTCCTGTAGTAGGTAACTTCTGGGAACTCTTCTGGCTCTATCAATCTGTTTCTTTACTTCTGCAGGTGGGTATTGTAGTTGTAAGAAAGCTTGACAGAGATCTTATAGGTGTTTGTCTCTGTCTGAGGGGTTGGAGCAAATGCGGTTGTATCGCAGAGCTTGGCTGTAGACGATGGATCGTGTGGTGTGGTCAGGGTGAAAGCTGGTGGCATGCAGGTAGGAATAGCGGTCAGTAGGTTTCCGGTATAGGGTGGTGTTTATGTGGCCATTGTTTATTAGCACTGTAGTGTCCAGGAAGTGGATCTCTTGTGTGGACTGGACCAGGCTGAGGTTGGTGGTGGGATGGAAATTGTTGAAATCATGGTGGAATTCCTCAAGGGCTTCTTTTCCATGGGTCCAGATGATGAAGATGTCATCAATATAGCACAAGTAGAGTAGGGGCTTTAGGGGACGAGAGCTGAGGAAGCGTTGTTAGCACTAGGTGGCTTTGTCCCTCTTTCTTAAAGTAACATGTTCCAAGGGCCTTGATGCTGCAAATAGTGATGCACGCGACGTGCTTTATACAGGTGAGTAGTCCCAAGGACGGAAACTTGTCACCACTGACTTCAGTCGCCCTATCTGGTGAGAGACCAATGTACCTACAGAACCCAAGAGATGCACCACCTGTACTGTCCACAACAGTGAATTCCAATGAAATGATGTGATATTTACAAGACAGCGGGGGGCCGGGGGGGGGGGCAGAACCAACCCAGCCCCTTAGGACAGGTCTGTCACTGCTGAAAGTAAGGGGAGGGGCTCACATGTCCGCTACCGGCTGAACAGACATGGATAATGGCGCTTCCCCACGGGCTTCTGGATGGCAGAAGTCTCCCCCTCTGAATTTCTGCTCTTTCATCCCAAACGTCTTGCGAGCGAGCAGCGCCAGCAAGGGCCGCGCATACTGTGCTTCCCCGCCCCACTGGCCAGATGCGACCCTCACATCTCCCGGCCGTGCCAGTCCCCACAGCGTTCAGCGCGCAGTACTGAGCCTCCCCGCTAGGGGGCAATGGAGACTAGCTCCAACGCCGGGATTCCCGCGAGTCACGCAGGATATGCGCTCGTCACGTGTCACGTGGCGCCCAGGGCTCCAATAGCCTGGTAGGTCTCTGGTCACGTGTTACTTCGCAGCCCTTCTGTGGTGGAAGCGTGTCTCGCCGCTGCCGGACCCTTACATGGGTGCGTAGAGGCCAGTTCTAGTGGCGGAGAACGCGTGGCGCGTGTTCTGTTATGCGACCTATCAGAGTCTGAGCGGTCGCAGTGCTTGCCGGGAGTTATAGTCTGTGCTCGAGCGCGGCGGTTGCCGGAAGTTGTAGTCTTCCGAGGCGGTGGGCCCTGAGGCTGGCTGCGGCGGCGCAGCGATGCCTCGCGGCTCGGCTGTGCGTGACGCACATTGGAAGGGGGGCTGTCTGCAGGGTAGTGACGGCTGGCTCCAGAGCGCGCTGAGGCAGCGCTGCCGTCATGATCAGTCAGCGCCCTAGGTTGTGCGCGTGACTCCCCGCTCCTCCGCCCGGTCCAGAGCTCTGTCCGCTCTGTCAGCTGCGGGGCTCCCGCCAGGCGCGAACACCAACGGCTGTTAAATGTGGGGCTCGTGAGCCCCGTCGCGGCTGCGAACCGTGGGCCGAGCCCGGCCGGGGAACTGACGGAGCGGGCTCTCCCCGGGTGCTCCCGCTTCGCGCGAGGCCCCAATTGTACCGGCACCGTTGTGTCCCCTCCGCCGACCAGACCCAGAGAGCTCCCGCCCGCGCCTAGCCCTTGAGCCTGCTGCTCGCACCGAGCATGGGGGCCCGGGCGATGGCGCTCCCTGTTTTCTGCTCAGGCGGTGGGAGCCGGGGTGGGGCTGGGGCCACGCTCCCCTCGGCCTGGCAGGGCTGCGGGGCAGGAGATGCTGGATGGAAACTTGAGGGCGCGGGCCTGCCCCGAGGAGCGGCCAGAAAACTAGAGCGCCCACAGCGGCTGGTGGAGGGGGAAGCTGGCTCGGCCACTCCTCTTTCCGTAGCACTTCAGTGGCTGGGGGTTAACTGGTAGCTGAGTGTTTTGAGGAGAGAGCTGCTGCTCCTGGCAGGGGCTAGGAAGCGCTCCAGCCAGGCACAGAGAGGATGAGGAGGAAGGATACCAGGGGAAGGCTGGAGTGGAGTTTTCATTAGGTTTCTATCATGCGATGTGGAATCCCCCCTCTCTGCTGCTCCCAGTGGGCAAGGAGCCTGCCTCCTCCCATCTGTCAGAGCCAGAATATCCACTTCCAGCTAGTTCTTCCCATGCTCACCACCAGCTCCCAGCTGAGAGTCGCCATTAGTGGGCTGAAAAAAGGGTCTAATTATAATTTGCCCTTGGCAAGAATTCCTTGGCTCTCTCCCTCAGTGCTAGAAACCCTTCCTCGGCCACAGTGCTTCTTAACAGACTTATACTCAGATTCAAATGGTCAGTCTCAAGGGCTTTCTCTGGAGGACCTGCCGTTTGTTGGGACAGTTTTGGTTCTGCAGTTAATTGTAAGCACATATGCTAGTATTTACATATCAGCCTGATTGTGCCTCAAAGTGACATTTAATGTTTAAATGTTCGCACTTGCCCCAGCTATTAAATGTGGGTGCCAAAACATGCCAGCAAAATCAGAGGCTGAGCTGAAGCCTTTTTAAGTCTGAATCAAACTTGGGTGCATGCCTACATTTAGGCAACCAAATACATGTGGCCTGATTGTCAGAGGTGTTCAGCAGCTAAAACTCCCATCAATCTTGGTGGGAGTTTTGGGTGCTGATCATCATGCAGAATCAGGCACCTTCGTGAGGATGAGAATGCCTAATTGTAGGCACTGTATTTGAAAATTTTTGCCTCTGTGACTTGCTGAAGGTTACATACTGAATCAGTGATATTAGAGATCAGGAGTTTACAGTTCACAGTCTTCAGAATATTTTGTACTATGCTTATTTACAAAGCAAGCTGTGAAAGAAGTGAGTAATTCTCAGGATAATGTATTCCTGTGACTAATAATTACGATAAAATCTTAGCTAGAAATAGAAACATGGCATGAGCTGAAACACAAATGGATGGGGCTGCCTGAAGGAGCCGTACTGCTATTAGATTTATGCATAATCAGCTTGTAAGTAGCCTGGAAAGTACCATGGTGTTTACACCAGCCTGCAGGGGCTGTGACATGCATATTTGATTTAGAATTATTTGTTTGCCATGCGTGAATTAACATAGGAATGTTATAAAAAACTTCTAAATGCTGTTTTAAATGAGTGTGACTCCACAATGCCTTCTGGAGAAGGCAGCTATGAGATAATTATAAGGAGTAAAGAAGCAAACAACTCTTATCTTCTGTTATCAGCCCAGCCACAGCCTTCCTCTATTCAGTTCTTGCAAAGTTCACTTCAGCCATGTTGTGTCCCACACAAAGACTGCCTTTTTTTGCTGTTCAGACCAGTTCCATTGTCTTTTAGAAAGCCTTTTTCAGTAAAGAAGCACTTATCAGAGCTGATACATAGAGGAGGCCTGGATGTGATGGAGCTATAGAGGGAATTGGTGCTGCTCTCATTACTTTGCAACTTCATTTCTTCATCCATTCTTCATCTCCGTCATGCTCTAGTATGGATCTAAGGTACTGATGTGACTTGATGTGTTACTGAGGAGCTACATTGCTTTTATCCCATTTAGAGCTTGATTCTGTCCCACTTTGGTTACTCCCCTCTACCCTCCCTTGTGCCCATTCTTCTCTGTACATACAAAGACTTTTTTTTTAACTTTGTTTTTCTTTTGCATGTAAACTTTAACCCTTTTATTTTTTTAAATCCGTGTATATCCCCAACCTGGACATGATCTAAAAAATAGTTTTAGCACATTTGTTTTTGTTTATATGGAGTTTTTTTTGGGGATTGGCATAAATGAATTAAAAGAGGTTTAGAATCTAAGTCTCATTTTGCCCCAACTGCAGTGTTGCTGTTACCCAAGCCCTCAGTCTAGTAATGAACTTTTAATTAATAGGTACCATGACATTTGTTCTTTTATCTAACAGACTGGATATACATTGTTATGAAGCAGGGATGTTTTATTAATATAATACAGATATATTTTCACCAAAACTTTTGCTTATGATATTTTGGTTAAATATCTTTATGAATGACTTGGTAACCAAAGTGTCCTTGTTTAGAAACCCTAAACTTTAATTGTTTTATAAAGTGGCTTTTTACTATTTTAACTAAAGGACATGGATTTGCACAGCTCAGTTGAAACACCTGATAAAGTGAAGGCTGATGCTCCTGTATATGCCGGTAAGGAAGAAGACATAAAACAGTCCCAAAGAATAACAGCTAGTGTGCATGACAGAGAAGTTGTCGTTTTCTACCATGAAGGGAAATTTTATGCCATGGACCGTTACTGTTACCGTAAGATTGTTTGCACTCTTCATCTTGGTGTTTATGTAACAATTTTAAAGTAAGCTAGTGTGAGTGTTGACTCTAATTCCATATTCCACTATGTTTCAGATGCAGGAGGTCCTTTACATCTTGGAGAGATAGAGGTATGTAACATTCTAAAAATAACACACAATTATTCAGAATCTTTTTACATTTTAATACCAATTTTATATTATTCTCTCACTTTGGGCTAAATAATGTTCTTGGTAACACTGCAGTAATTCTACTGGAATCAGTGGGGTTACTTTGGATTTACACTGGTATAGCTGAAAGCAAAATTTGGCCCCCTCTCTCTATAATGGACCACTATCTTTAACAGTCCTTAATTTTTCAATGTCCACAATGCTCTCAACTCCCTGCTGGCTTGAGGGACAGGAGGCCAAGTTCAGGTACTTTTGAGACAAATAGTTTAATAATCATTTATTATTAGGCACTTACTAGAGACACTTACTTTATAAAACACTGACAGCATGCTTTGTGTTTGCACATCATAGAGAGATGTGGTGTATGTCAAAATGTGAGTAAGTAAAAGCATCTCCAGTCACACTATTGAAAATAAAAAATGGCTATTATCTTTATTATCTGGAGTCTGAAAGAATCCCTGTCATCTATGCACACACATCCCATTATTCTAGATTATTGCCAGTTAGGGGCATTATGGGTTTTCCTCTGAATCTTCTGACATTGGTCACTGTTGCAAACAGGCTATGCTAGCTGGATCAGTAATCTGATTTGGTATTCCAGTTGTTAATTTTAAAAACAGAACCTGGTGTTCCTGCCATGGCAGTACAGGGCATTAAAACTAGTCCACGAAGCTGTGTGTTGGTCTAGAGATATTTCATAGAGAAGAGTAAGATTTGTGGGTTGTCCTAATTTTTTCCCCAGGATGTCAATGGACAGCCCTGCATTATTTGCCCTTGGCATAAGTATAAAATTACTTTGGCAACAGGAGAAGGATTAGATCAAGCCGTAAACCCTACAGAACCATCAGCAACACCAAAATGGCGATCAAAAGGAATAAAGCAAAGAACTCACAAGGTTACTGTAGACAATGGAAGTGTTTATGTGACTCCTTCTGACTTATCTATCAGCTGTGACTCTGATTACTATGCTGATAAGTACAAAAAGACTGGAAGTTCTGATATGAAAAAATAATGCACATCCTGAACTTCAAAATCAGTGGCCATAATGCAAAATATCAGTGTGTGTGTGTACAAGGCATCATCAGTATATCAGGATGATATGCAGATTTTTTCTAGATGTTAATATAATGAAATACCAGTGTTAATCTTATTGCTATTGGAGCATTAAGTAATGTAGAAATGAGTAAGATCATAAACAAAAGTTCAAGACCCTCTTTAGAATGAGTTAGCATTGTGCCAGTGCAGTTTTATATTTGTCTTTAATAAAATACAAGTTTAATGTATGTACATTAGACTAGTTTGTAATATTTGAAGTATTAAATCTTCCATTCCTATAGTATAAATCTTTTAACTTTTAGGAGGAGGATTATTATACTATTGCATTTAATTAGTTTATAAAAACATCTTGAAATGTTACGGTAAATATCCGTTGAAGGATAGAATTTTTTGTATACATTAAATAGTTTAGAACTATAATAATTTCAATGTAATTGGGAGATATTTTAAAAAAAATATTATATTTGCAGGTCAGGAGAAAAACCTATTATTTTATCTTCTTAACACATAGGACCAGAGTTTCATAAAGTGATGTACAAAGCATTTGTGTGTTGTAATGTGCTTTTGCATGGTTACTTTTGTGTGTGCAATTACCCCAGTTCTGTTCTAAATAAGTACTTGTGTCTCCTTCATCATGGTAGTGCCTGAGCACATTCCAATAATCAGTTAACCAACATGACACATGTGAGTTCTCTGTCACCCTTTCCTCTGGAGGAAAATTGGATGTGTCATGTAGAATTTTGGTTTTGGACTATTTTAAAAATGTAAACACTTATCAGAGGGTGTCATAAATATAAAGGGAAGGGTAACCACCTTTCTGTATACAGTGCTGTCATAAATATAAAGGGAAGGGTAAACCCCTTTGAAATCCCTCCTGGCCAGGGGAAAGCTCCTCTCACCTGTAAAGGGTTAAGAAGCTAAAGGTAACCTCGCTGGCACCTGACCAAAATGACCAATGAGGAGACAAGATACTTTCAAAAGCTGGGAGGAGGGAGAGAAACAAAGGGTCTGTGTGTCTGTCTTATGCTGTTTTGCCGGGGATAGACCAGGAATGGAGTCTTAGAACTTTTAGTAAGTAATCTAGCTAGGTACGTGTTAGATTATGATTTCTTTAAATGGCTGAGAAAAGAACTGTGCTGAATAGAATACCTATTTCTGTCTGTGTATCTTTTTTGTAACTTAAGGTTTTGCCTAGAGGGGTTCTCTATGTTTTGAATCTAATTACCCTGTAAGGTATCTACCATCCTGATTTTACAGGGGGGATTTCTTTATTTCTATTTACTTCTATTTTTATTAAAAGTCTTCTTGTAAGAAAACTGAATGCTTTTTCATTGTTCTCAGATCCAAGGGTTTGGGTCTGTGGTCACCTATGCAAATTGGTGAGGCTTTTTATCCAACATTTCCCAGGAATGGGGGGGGTGCAAGTGTTGGGAGGATTGTTCATTGTTCTTAAGATCCAAGGGTCTGGGTCTGTAGTCACCTAGGCAAATTGGTGAGGCTTTTTACCAAACCTTGTCCAGGAAGTGGGGTGCAAGGTTTTGGGAAGTATTTTGGGGGGGGAAAGACGTGTCCAAACAGCTCTTCCCCAGTAACCAGTATTAGTTTGGTGGTGGTAGCAGCGGCCAATCCAAGGACAAAGGGTGGAATATTTTGTACCTTGGGGAAGTTTTGACCTAAGCTGGTAAAGATAAGCTTAGGAGGTTTTTCATGCAGGTCCCCACATCTGTACCCTAGAGTTCAGAGTGGGGGAAGAACCTTGACAAGTGCTATAAAATCCCTCCTGGCCAGAGGCAAAACCCTTTCACCTGTAAAGGGTTAAGAAGCTAAGGTAAACTCGCTGGCACCTGACCCAAAATGACCAATGGGGGGACAAGATACTTTCAAATCTTGAGAGGGTGGAACAAAGGGTTCTGTCTGTGTGATGCTTTTGCCAGGAACAGATCAGAAATGCAAGCCTTCCAACTCCTGTTAAATTAGTAAGTAATCTAGCTAGAAAATGTGTTAAATTTTCTTTTGTTTAATGGCTGGTAAAATAAGCTGTGCTGGAGGGAATGTACGTTCCTGCCTTCGTGTCTTTTTGTAACTTAAGGTTTTGCCTAGAGGGATTCTCTGTATTTTGAATCCAATTACCCTGTAAGGTATTTACTATCCTGATTTTACAAAGGTGATTCTTTTACATTTTCTTTAATTAAAATTCTTCTTTTAAGAACCTGATGGATTTTTCATTGTTCTTAAGATCCAAGGGTTTGGGTCTGTGTTCACCTGTGCCAATTGGTGAGGATTATTATCAAGCCTTCCCCAGGAAAGGGGGTGTAGGGCTTGCGGGGATATTTTGTGGGAAGACATCTCCAAGTGGTCTCTTTCCCTGTTCTTTGTTTAAAACGCTTGGTGGTGGCAGCATACTGTTCAAGGACAAGGCAAAGTTTGTACCTTGGAAGTTTTTAACCTAAGCTGATAAGAATAAGCTTAGGGGGTCTTTCATGCAGGTCCCCATATCTGTACCCTAGAGTTCAGAGTGGGGAAGGAACCTTGACAGAAGGTATCTTGGATAAGGCAGTTCAAAGAAGCGTGTACCTAGAACTTGGAGCAGAAAGTAGCAAAGTTTGTGATAGAGGCACTGGGGCAGTTCATTGCACAGTCTGACTAGTCCCCAAGAAAGCTGTGCCTCTTGGACAGATGAGCTTTGCTCATATGGTAGAAAGCCCCATTGTGCCTGAGGATCAGAGTTGTCAAGCACAGTACTTATCCCAGAACTTTAGGAGATCTTTCAGATACTATGGGGTCAGGCCATTCAAGATAAATACCAAGACCTTGAACTTGATTCAGTATTCTGGGTGAAGTCAGTGTAGAGAGTGGAGCACAAGGCTGATGTGCTTATGGTAGCCAATGTTGTTGAGATGTGCTGCAACATTTGGTACTAGTGGAGTTTCCTAAGCATTGAAGGCTTCAGGCCCAGGTATATTGCATTATGGTGGTCCAGATAGGAGCTGGCAAAGGTGTGAATAACTGAGGGCAGGTCATTGTCTGTCTGCCAGGATGATATGGAATCTCATAGGCAACTGGAGCTGGTAGAAAGCATAACTCATGTTTTGTGTTATGCAAAAGCTTAGCATCATTGAGGAATCCAGGAACATTTATAAACTACAGAGTGACTTCATCAATTAGGAACATATACCTTTAGTCAGAGGAAGGTATTTGCCTCGTTCCTGTAAATTCTTCATAGTGCTTTTCTTTGCCCACCAACATATTCTTTTTCTTGCTCAGCGTCTGCTTCAACCAACTATTCTTCATCCAGGTGCTGATCTAATCAGAGTACTGGGCCATCTTTGTTTTAAGTGGTATAGTTGAATCTGTTGAAGGGTGGTGTTACGCTACACCCCATATTTTTCATAAACTATTGTTATAATATTATAGCATTCTTGCAAGATAAGGCATGTGAAATATTGTTGGAAAAGTTACAATTTACTGAATTTGATTATCCTATTTGTATGCATGTATCATTTTTGTATCTAAAGTTAGGAATCTTGACTCCATTGAATACATCTGTACTACAAAAGCGTTTGCACCTGGGGAATGCCCACCAGACAGAATGCAACCAGTTTGGCTGGCTAGCTGGGGACCAGTCAATGGACCATTAGGGAGAACAATAGGTCTTTGAAGATACTAATCTCCCACCTTCCTCAGAAGCTTTCCTGGGATGCTACAAACAACCTCTGACTCATGGCTGCTTTGATACTGCAGGGTCATGTGATTGTCACCTGGTACTAGACTCCATGGTAGAATACCAGTATTTTTCCACGGAGGGTGGTGGTGGTGGGAACCACACTGGAAAACAAAGGATTCCTGCCATATGTAAAAGCTATTTAAGGCTGGGGAGGATTAATCAGCATTCATTCTTCATTGAATTCCCCACCCACAATGAGTGCAGGAAAAGACAAAGGGGGGTGGGGAGAAGGACTGAGCCCAGGCTGGAAAGATGTCTGGCCTGTGAGAGTAATGCCTGGAGTTTCAAGCTGCAAACAAGAGCAGCTTGCCTTCAAGAGCCTCTGCAATCTGCCCAAAATAATATTTAGGGTGAGAAACTACTACTTGTAACCAGTTTCTTTTTTTGGTATCTTAAGCTTATATTGTGTTTTTTGTTTTATTTGCTGGGTAATCTGCTTTGATCTGTTTGCGATCCCTTAGGTTTTAAATGATATCTTTTGTAGTTAATAAACTTTTTGTTTTCTCTGGAACCAGTTTGTGGAACTTATAACTGGGGGATCGGGGGGGAAACTGTGCACATCTTCCTCCATATTGAGGAAGGGAGTGAATTTCATGAGCTTATGCTACTGTACAGTTCTCTGTACAGTGCAAGACAGTATAATTTTGGGTTTACGCTCCAGGGGGGATGTGCACTTGAGTGCTGGGCATTTCTTTAGTGAAGCCTTCCCATGCAGAGCTGATTTCAGTGTCTCCCGTCTTTCTGAAGCTGGGTGTGTCCCTGCCTGGGTGTATGCTGGAGGAGGCTTGAGGGCCTGGCTCATCAGGACAGTGTAAGGGGAAACAGGTGGGTACCTCAGTATGTCAGCGGGGGGTAACCCATCAGATGAGTAGATCTGTTTATACAAAATTAGAGCTGTACGTGTACATCATGTATTTGCATGGACTAAGGAGTAATGGGGTGTGTTTAAATGCTAGATTAAGGTGGTGCTTGTGGACCTTGGGCCTCACTTCATTAAAATCTGGCTTCTGAAGTTGTAAAGAGATTTAAACATGAAACATAAGAGTGTGTGGCCTCTCAACAACAATGGGACACAGAGGAGAGTATTCTGTTAATGCTTTGGGTAAAATGCAAAGATAATCTCTTTTCATAGTTCTGACACGATTGGATATGGTTATTTTTAAACTTCATAACATTTTGTGAAGTCAAACATCCTAGTCCAGTGAATCAAGACGGGAGATGAGAAAAGTCTGGGTAAAGGGAAAAATCAGAGAGAAACATCCTTGGCAGGCTGAACCACAGTAAAGGAAACAAAGTATACATTAATCCAATATAGTCAGTGACCATCTGCTAGAAAAATGCACTTAGACATGGGCCAGATTTGTGGAATTTGGTATAAAAGGAACCCACTAGACTCTACACTTAAAAGCATCGGATTTTTTTAACTTGCATAATCAATGAAATTTAAACAGTTTGTGTCAGTGAGAAATTTACATCCTGTAGAACATGGCACTAAAAACATTCATAGTCAGGCCCTCAGCCATACCTAGATAGACTTTTTTTTCCTTTCACTAGTCAAGGTACTCTGAAGATATTAAGTTTTTGTATGAATTATTTTATTAACAAATAGAGAATGTAAATTCTGTGTATATAAGTGTCTTTCTTTTCACATTTAATGCACTAACAAAAAGCTCACAAACCTGTTTGAGCTTCAGTTACCACTACTAAGTACTGTATCTTGATCCAGTGCAGAATGTAGGATGTGAATGCTGCTCTTAGTTGAATCAACAGGAAATTCAGAAAAGACTTGCTTCTCTGGAGAGGGCACAGTGTAACTTGCTAAATCTTCATATTTGGTGAATACATCTTTTTCTTCCTTATTCTTAGTGTTTTCTCTTGAGGCCTTTTCTTCTTCAACAATGTTTTTTATTTTCCCTAATACTGTGTTAATAGAGACTGCCTACATACAATAAAGGTATATAGTTTAGTTACTGTCTGTATGACATTTGAAATGAACAACAAGAAGTACCCTTTATTTTGAAGTTTTTTAATACATACCAATATCTTAGTAATAAAGGACTCAATGCTTCAAGGTGCTGACCACTTTGGCCACAATCTAATACAGTTAAGCATATGAATAGTCCCAGCAAATTCAGTAAGACTATATATGTGCTTAAAATTATGCAGAGGCTTAAGTGCTGTTGGATCAAGGCTACTATGTTTAGCACTTCATAGGATCAAGCTTTTATACATCACCACAGCAGCCACACACTTTGTACAGTTGTAGCTAAGTGAATTTGCTCACAGGGTCAATGCCATTATGTCTATCAAATATTTAAATAAACAGTTATTACTATTACAAATTTCTCCTATAGAATGTATTACTGTAAATACTTACAACTAAAACCCCTCCAGCACATCATCAAGGATCTACAACCTATCCTGGAGGACGATCCCTCACTCTCACAGACTTTGGGAGACAGGCCAGTCCTTGCTTACAGTCAGCCCCCCAACCTGAAGCAAATACTCACCAACAGCTACCCACCACACAACAGAAACACTAACCTAGGAACCAATCCCTGGAACAAACCCTGTTGCCAAGTCCGTCTGCATATCTATTCAAGGGACACCATCATAGGACCTAACCACATCAGCCACACCATCAGGGGATTGTTCACCTGCACATCTACCAATGGGAAGCGTGCCATCACGTGCCAGCAATGCCCCTCTGCCATGTACATTGGCCAAACCGGACAGTCTCTACACAAAAGAATAAATGGTCACAAATCAGACATCAAGAATTGTAACCTTCAAAAACCAGTAGGAGAACATTTCAATCTTCCTGGACCCTCAATAACAGACTTAAAAGCAGCCATTCTTCTACAAAAAAACCCCTTCAAAAATAGACTTCAACGAGAAACTGCAGAGCTGGAATTAATTTGCAAATTTGACACCAAATGAAGCCTGAATAAAGACTGGGAGTGGCTGGGTCACTACAAAAAGTAATTTTCCTTCTGTTGACACTCACGCCTTGTCCACTGTTGGGAATGGGCCATAGCCAGCCTGATTGAATTGGCCTCATTAGCACTGACCCCGTCACCCCCTTGGTAAGGCAACTCCCATCTTTTCATGTGCTGTATATTTATACCTGCCTACAGTATTTTTCACTCCATGCATCTAACTGATTGCCATGTTTGAGTTGGGAAATGTGACCGAGATCCGGGGGTTTTTTCACCTTCCTTTGCAGCATGGAACATGGATCATTTGCTGATTTGAACTAGAGTAAATGATGGGTTCTGTGTAATTAAGTCTTTAAATGAACATTTGAGTAGCTTAGTAACTCAGAGGTTGTGACAGGAGTGGGTGAATGAGGAGGTTCTGTGGCCTGTCATGTGCAGGAGATCAGACTAGATTATCATGATGGGTCTTTCTGGCCTTAAAGTCTATGAGACAGGTTAGAGGGGATGGGTCAGAGGGGCAAATAATCTTGAGTAAAGAATCAGCAAATCATTAGCCACAAATTCATGAGACAATTTAATGCAGCATTGAAAAATAATAGCGTCCCACTTATCTAGGGTAAGTAGTTGGGTTTTTGGGTTCTTTTAATTTTTTTAAATAAGTGAGTAAATATCATTAGTTTCCATTATCAATCAATATAGCGGAAGACAGGGGCGTAGATTTTTATGCCTTGGTTTGGGACCAAGTTTGCAAGGCTGCCTAAACATGTACAAAGCACACTCAAATGCAACTTGAGTAAAAATAACCATTTCATTGCACCTGTCATGCAGCTACCTGTATGAAAAGAGCAGAGAAAAAACTGAAATGCTTATTGTTGATGACAGGTTTCAGAGTAGCAGCCGTGTTAGTTCACAAAAAGAAAAGGAGTACTTGTGGCACCTTAGAGACTAACAAATTTATTTGAGCATAAACTGTAGCTCACGAAAGCTTATGCTCAAATAAATTTGTTAGTCTCTAAGGTGCCACAAGTACTCCTTTTCTTATTGTTGATGACAGCATTTAAATCTTATTCTGATGGCTACATTACTATAGCATGAATATTAAGGAACTGAATTGATTAAAAAATGCCTGATTCTGTCCCCTTTACCCACTAAATAGTACCTTATGCTGCACATAGTCCTATTGGTTTCACATATGGAGTAAGGCACTACTCACTGTGGGAAAGGGTGGCAGAATCAGGTGCAAAACTAAGAAGCGTATACTTACCACATAAATTAGTGCTGCATAGGAAGCACACATTATGCTGGTGAGAGCAGTCTTTGCTGGATAGGAGATCACATCGAACAGGGAAAATGTTCTACCCTGAAGGAAAAATAATTTTTTAAAACAGTTTTTGCTGCCAAAATATCAATGCTGCTCAATAGGACAATGTTTTAACAGCAGTTTTCTATATCTATATCCACTTCTGTAATGTCTATATTTACATTCATTTTGTCATCTGTGTGGGTCACTGGAACATACAGGAATCACAAACATAAAGGGGTGGCATCCACTACAGCCCATCTACCAGCCTGCCTATTCTTCTGACTCAGCAGGCCTTCTGTAGCTTATAGGAGAAAGTAGTGATGGAGGAGGAGAGTTAATGCTGCTGCAGAGCTGGCTAAAGTCTCTTTCCATGTGGAAGGAGGAGAACCACCTATGCGGGGGCCTCTCCACTTGCAGATATTGGGTGCAATCGGGATCTGTTTGTATACAGTCCTTATTCAGGCAAAATGCCTACTGTTTTGGCCCAGCATGTTAACTGAATGAGGACAAACCAATGGTTTCAGGATTTGTGCCCGTATGAATTACTGTGTAATAGAGGTGAAAGTATTCATAGGGGAAAATGAGATAAAGATGGTAAAGATTCCAGTTTTGCACACAGTAACTTGAATGAGCTGTGGAACAGAACTTTTAATTGAAAGTAGTTGGAAAACCTGATATACATTGCAGGTAAAGAATGTCAGAATAGGTCCTAAATAATAAGCATTTGAACTAATGCTCCCATACCTGATTTTTATAGAGAGGCTGCTTTGGTGTGTTTACATTTTTCAGAAGACGATGAGACATAGTATTTAACTCTGCAAAATGTTGAACAAGTTGTGGCTGCAAGACTTTGGCAACAGATTTTGAAGATGTTGATATTCTGTTTAGCCCATTAATAACTCTTACTCCAGGAGATGAAGAGAATGCACTTGCCACAACTGATCTGGATGCTTGTAGAATGGGAACAATTTCCTGAAAGGGAAGTGTTTGAGAAATAATATGGCATATGATTCTAAAATGAATTTCTTAGAATATCATGACTTTATGGAGAGTGAAAGGCTATTCCAAAGATAATCCTTTGATACTGAGGCTATGCAGAGATACAAGCGATTTTATTAAAAGCTCAGTTATCATTCTTCATTTAACTCTACAACTAATGAACATGTATAATTACTTGATTTGTGGCAACATCCAAGATACTTTATAAACACACAGGAAGATATAATCCTGCCCCGTGTTCATATATAAAGTACCAGAATGTTTTACACTTTTAATGTCTTGGGAAACAACATGCATTTATATAGCACAGTTAGCATCTAGAAGAAAAATCTTTTGTAGCTCCTGTTTGGCCAGTGGACACAAGACTACCCTTCTCCTGTAATAGGTGTATGGCCTTTGCAGTATTCCCACTCCTACAGTGGCTTAGCAAACAGGAAAGTGCTGCTATCATCTGAATTTGAGAAGTACTTTACTTCTGTGGATGTTGATGGTGTCAGCACCTCCCAGGAGGCTCTGTCATGTTGCAGAGCTCACCCTGTTTTCCATCAGACTCAGCATCAAAAGCAAACCTAAATATATAAATTTGGAGATGCAGGTGTTCTCGCTGAGAGAGTCTATCAGCTCAGAACATAAAGAGCCTAATAGAGGATGTATCCGATTAAACTGAGATTACACTTGATATGGACCAAAAGAGTTTATTGTTGGTGATTTACCTATTGGTTTCAGTTACAACATTGCCACCTGGTAATACAATGATGGGCATATTCGAAATGCTTAAGATAGAGGCATATTCTACTTCAATATTTGTAAACATTTTAAAATATGTTCTACTCATCTGCTCATCTCTGAGCATTTTCCCTTGCCCCCTGCTCTGACAATGCCAGCCTTGCCTGAGTCCACTTCTCCCACAAACATCTTTCTTCCATGATGCCACTTATGCATGGAATGTCATTCCTGAGCTGAAAAATAAAGCCTCTATTCTCCCCTTCAAATCCCTCCTTTCCTCCTCTTCACCCACTTCTTCCAGGACACTTAGCTTGCCAGTTTTTAGTAATAGTACAAATTATCATAGAGTCTCAGACTTTAAGACCAGAAGGCATCATCCTGATTTTTTAGTTGGACTTCCTGTGCTTTTCAGGCCACAGAAGCTCACCCTCCCACTTCTGTAATAGGCCCATAACCTCTGGCTGAGTTACTGACGTCCTCAAATATTGATTTAAAGATCAAGGGGGCCCAGTACTGATTGGAGCCTTTGGGCATTAGCATATTACAAGTAACAAAGCCTTACAAAAATCTTTCATCCTTGCTTCTTTTAGAAACCTGACCTTATATCCTACAGCCCAATGGGATTCAACCAAATGTTAAAGAAAACCTAATCAATTGATTAGTGTGAAATTTACCCTAGTGTGGTGGTGATGGTGGGGGAAGCAGCACAAAGCCCTTAGCCCTATTTCTGCCCCGTGGTGATTGTACTGTGGTTAGAGAGATTGTGGAGGGTTCTCTGAACCCTCTCCTTCACACTCTATAGGGGAGCTCTGTGTCGGCTCTATAATGGACCACATGATCTGTAATTAGAGGGATACAATGATCCAAGTAGCTAGGTACAATGTAGCAGCAGTCATTCTTCCTGTCCATACACTGGCATAATAGCCTGGCCACAGGATGACGGTGTGAGAAAGATCTAAGTATGAGCATTCCATAGCAGTCTTCCCTCCACAATTCTAACCACTCGGATTTTGCTCAGTGAGGGTGATGAATTTCAGTGACTGAACTAAATGGGAGAAATTGTATCTTACACATGTAGGGAACTAAGACGTGTTTCTGTGTGCTCTGCAGTGACCTGTATTTTATCTGATATTGGTCAGAAGTGCAACTTCCATTAAAAAAAAAAATCATCAATGGGAGTCCTGTAACTAAACCCTGTACAATGTTGCTTGAAAAAAAATGCAGGGTAGATTCTCAGATGTAAAGTGCCATAGTTGTTGAAATAAATGGAGCTATGACAATTTACACCAGATGAGGATCTGTCTTAAATGTTTTGTACCATTGGCTATTAATATTATTATATGTGATAAATAAAAAAAATACGTAAGGTTCTCAAAACATTTAGGAAGGAATGTGCATTGAAATGGAACACAGGATCTAATTCAAGAGGTGAATATAATTGCAACCATAATGTAATTAAATTTAACATAATGGAGGGGGGAGAGAATGCAAATAAACCCACCGCAGTCGCATTTAATTTAAAAAAAGGGAACTATACAAAAGTGAGGAGGCTAGTTAAATGGAAATTAAAAGGAACAGTCACAAGAGTGAAATGCCTGCAAACTGCATGGAGACTTTTTAAAAACATCATAACAGAGGCTCAAATGAAATGTATGCCCTAAATAATCATTTTAAAAACTGTAAGAGGACCGTGCTACCGTGACTAAACAGCAGAGTAAGAGAGGCTGTTAGAGTCCCCTCCCCCCAAAAAAAAATTCCTTTAAAATTGGAAGTAAAATCCTAGTGAGGAAAATAGAAAGAAGCTTAAACTCTGTCAAGTGTAAAAGGCAGGGCAAAAAAAAAAAAAAAATTGAAGAACTAGCTAAGGTCAAAAAAAACCTAACTGCAATTTTTTTAAAGTATATCAGAAGCTGGAAGCCTGTCAAACAGTCCATGGGGCCCCAGGATGGCCGAGATGCTAAAGGAGCACTTAAGGAAGATGGGGCTGCTGCAGAGAAGCTAAATGAATTCTTTGTATCAGTCTTCACTGCAGAGGCTATGGGGGAGATCCCGACACCTGTGCTGACCTTCTTATGTGACAAATCTGAGGAACTGTCCCAGATTGAGGTGTCAGTAGAGGAGGTTTTGGAACAAATTGATAAATTAGTCACTAAAACCAGGTGGTTGTCACCCAAGAGTTCTGAAGGAACTCAAATATGAAATTGCAAAACTAACTAAGGTATGTAATCTGTCACTTAAATCACCTTCTGTATAAGATAACTGGAGGGTAGCTAATGTAACTTATTTTTTTTTTTAAAGGCTCCAAGTACAATCCTGGCACTTACAGGCCAGTAAGCCTAACTTCAGTACCAGGCAAATTGATTGAAACTGTAGTAAAGAACAAAATTATCAGACAACATAGATAAACATGATATGTTAAGGAAGAGTCAACACAGCATTTTTAAAGGGAAATCATGCCTCACCCGTATATTAGAATGATCTGATAGCATCAACAAGCATTTGGACAAGCATGATCCACTCGCTATAGTGTACTTGGACTTTCAGCAAGCCTTTGACAAGGTCCCTCACCAAAGGTTTTTGAGCAAACTAAGCAGTCATAGGATAAGAGGGAAGGTCCTCTCATAGATCAGTAGCTGGTTGAAAGATAGGAAACAAATGGTAGGAATAAATGGCGAGTTTTCACAATGGAGGGAGGTAAATAGTGGGGTCCCCCAATCTGTACTGGTATCTGTGCTGTTCAACATATTCATAAGTGATCTGGAAAAAAGGATGAACAGTAAGGTGGCAGGTGATGCAAAATTACTCAAGATAGTTCAAAGCTGACTGCAAAGCATTACAAAAGGATCTCACTAATCTGGGTGACTGGGTGAGAAAATGGCAGATGAAATTCAGTGTTGATAAGTGCAAGGTAATGCACATTGGAAAAAATAATCCCAACTATATGTACAAAATGATGGGGTCTAAATTAGCTGTTACCATTCAAGAAAGAGATCATTGTGGATGGTTCTCTGAAAACATCCACTCACTTTACAGCAAAAGTCAAAAAAGCTAACAGAATATTCGGAGAGGAATAGATAAAAAGACAAAAAAATAATATCATGCCACTATATAAATCCATGGTATGCCCACTTTGTGCAGTTTTGGTTGCCCATCTCAAAAAGAGATATTAGAATTGGAAAAAGTACAGAGAAGGGCAACAAAAACAATTGGGAGTATGGAAAAACTTCCATCTGAGGCGAGGTTAAAAAGACTTGGACTGTTCATTTTAGAAAAGAGACGATGAAAAGAGATGATAGGTCTATAAAATCATGAATGGCATGGAGAAATAGAATAGGGAAGTGTTATTTAGCTCTTCATGTAACACAAAAACTAGGGGTCCCCAATTAAATTAATAGGCAGCAAGTTTAAAACAAACAAAAGGAAATCCTTCTTCGCACAGTACATAATCAACTTGTGGAACTCATTTCCATGGGATGTTGTGAAGTCCAAAAGTATAACAGGGTTCAAAAAAGAAATAGATATGTTCATGGAAGGCAGGTCTATCAATAGCTGTTCACCCGGATGGTCAGGGACTCAACCCCATGCTCTGGGTGTCCTTAAACCCCCAACTGCCAGAAACTGGGACTGGACCACATGGGATGGATCGCTTGATAAATTGCCCTGTGATGTTCATTCCCTCTGAAGCATCTGTCTCTGGCCACTGTCAGAAGACAGGACACTAGGCTAGTTGGACCATTAGTCTGACCCAATATGGCTGTTCTTATATGTATCACAATGCCCTTAGCACCTAATGACTAAATGTCACCATATCCATTATGTATGGTATATGGTACACACTTTAGCTCATGTTGTCAAGGAAGAAGTGTAAATTACATTTTATCAGTGTCCACAAACAGATTTAGTAGTGCTGTTCCCACCTGAGTCAGTGGCAATCTTTACTCAAGCAAAACTCCCCAAATGGGAGCTTTGCAGTAGTATAATTAGGTGGGAGGGGGCATTTGTAGCCACTCTTTCGGTCATATTAGTCCCCTAATAGAAAGTGGGGATTATTGATGCCAATGTCAATAAGAGGTGAAATAATAAATATTTTCTTGTTCATTTAAGGCTGATCCCAAGCCTATTAAAATAGCAAAACACCCACTGACATCAGCAGGAGCAGGATCAAGTCCTAAATGGCAATAGAAAAAGGCATTTGTTGCCTATCATATTTTAAGCTCTTTGGGTCACCACTTAGCACAGCAGGATCCCAATCCTAATTGAGGCCTTTGGGTACTACTGCAATACAAATTATAACATTCAATAGACATTGCTGTGTTATTCCTATTATGATTTTGTATTATTGTAGAACTTAGGAGCCCCAGTCATGGACCAGAATCCCATTGTGCTAGGTGCTGCACAAACACAGACCAAAAAGACAGACCCTGTTCCAAAGAGCTTACAATCCAAGTATAAGACAAGAGACAACAGATGGACACAGAGAGTTAGATGGGGAAGTGCAAGGAAACAATTAGATGATACTTGTCAGCATGATTGTTAGTGGTCTCTGCATGCCAGCAGCCTAACCGTTGTAAAGTTTTTTTAATAGGTATAATGGAAAAGGAGAATCTTAAGGAGGATAATGAGTTAGTTTTGTGGATATTTATGGGGAGCATCTCCCAGGTGTGAGGGGCAGCATGGGAGAAAGTACAAAGGTGTTCATGTTATTAATGAGTGGGTGATAGAGGCTGGCCTCATGACCTGTTCAGAAGTCGGAGCTGACATTTTGATCGTGAATGGATGATAGGTAGGATGGGTGGTGATACGTTGTAAAGGGCCTTGAAAGTGAAAATAAGTTGTTTATATTTGATGCAATAGAGAAGATGGAGCTAGTGGTGCGATTCAAAGAGAGCGAGGTGATGTGGTCAAAGCAATGAGCAAGGAAATTGATCTTTGCATCAGCATTCTACATAGATACGAGCAGGGAGAGATTTACTTCATCGAGGCTAGTGAGAAGGATGTTGCAGCAATTGAGATGTGAGATGAAACCTTGGACAAGAGTTGTAGCTGTGTAAATGGACAGGAAATCTCAAGAGTAGTTGTATGGAAAGAAACAGCAAGATTTAGACATAGCCTGGATGGGAAGATGAAAAAACAGGTCTGAGTTTAAGAAAACATAGTGGAAAAGATTAAGAACTCTGTTTCAGCCATGCTGAACTTGCACTGATATTGCATTGTGGATTTTAGCCAATCAGAGAGGCAGGCCATGGTTTTAGTTTAGACAGAATGGGACAGGCCTGGAGTAGAGAGGTAGATCTGTGAGTCATCAGCATCGAAATGGTAGTTTAATTTGTATTTATGGATGAGATTTCAGAGATAAGTGTGGAGGGAGAAAAGAAAGGGATGAAAAACAGATCCCTGTGGAGCCCCTACAGAAAGTTGGAGAGGAAATGAGGAGGATCTTCCAAAGGACACACTAAAGAACAATTAGAGAGGTAGGAGCAGAATCAGGAAAGGACAGTCACAGAAGGACAAGATTTCAAGAGGATTAGTAAGTTTCAGTTAAGCGCAAAGGATAGAAGCTAGTTGGAGAGGGTCTAGGATGGAACTGGAAGAGAGGACTCTAGACAGCAAATGTAAACAGCATGTTCAATGAGCTTAGAGGTGAAAGGGAGGATGCGGCACAAACTGGAAAGGCATGTTGGATCAAGGATGGATTTTTTTTAAGATGGGAGAGACTAAAGCATGCTTGTATCGTGAGGGGAAAAAGTGTCAGGAATCACGACCTGCTGCAGAGCTAGTCTCCAGGCAGCCTCCTCAGTATCTTTGGCCTACAACAGCTGTCTGATTGGCTACACCACCTGATTGGCTGGAGGGGGTAGCAGCAGCAGCTTGCTGGATGCTCAACGTTCATGCCCACCACTGTGATTGCTCCTGTTACCTTATTCCTGTCCTGCCTCTGCCTTCAACCCCTCCTTGCCTGTTACCCTGCTTGCTTCAGTTCCTGACCTTGGTTTGATCTTTGGCCCTGGCTTCCCACTACTGACTCTGGCTCTGCCCCTAGTCCTTGGTTCCTGATGCCTGCTCTGACCACTAAGCTAGACTGCCCTCATTCCAGTCAACGGAGCCAGAGGCACACAAGAGGTCAAGAAGAGTAAGGGAAGGAATGAGAGTGGGTATGAGGGAAATCTGAGGGAAATCAGATGGGATGGGGTCAGTGGGGCAAGAGGAAGGCTTAGAGGAGGAGAACAGATGAGAAACTCCTGTGTCTGTGACAGGGAGGAGGAGGAGAGAGTTGTAGAAAAAGAGGTGGAAGATCATATTGCATTTTGTCAAATTTTCTCATGGAAGAAATTGGCAAGAACTTGTGCAGGGAGAAGTGGAGGTTGGAGGAGGAGAGGGTTTGAGGAGTGGTCAGAGGTGGTTGGGATTGTGGACATGAGATTCAATTAAATTGGTTAAGTGGAGTTGTTTAGCTAGGAAAATGCCAGAACTGAAGAAGAAAATGAATTTGTAGTGTTAGAAGTCAGCCTAGTCACGGAATTTCTGCCAAAGATGCTCTGCAGCCAGAGACCAGGAACACAGGAAGTAGATGTTGGGGTATTTCAGGCAATAATTTATTACAGGCCTTCTTCTCCCAATTTTATTTCTACATGAGAGGGATTGGAATTGATGTCCTGCTTCACAGTCTGATTTGCCAGTGTCAGTGGAATTGGAAGTGTAGAAGGAGTTGAGGGTCTATCACAATAGAGAGTCTGAGCACCTCACAAGCCTTAATGGATTTTACCTTCAGAACATCTCTGTGAAATAGGGGAATTTTAATCTCCATTCCATAGATGAGGAATAGAGGACAGCAGGCTGCATCCACAAACATTTTTGGGCATCTAAGTGCCACTTGAGGCAGTTTTAAGATTCTCAAGTTAGGATTCTCAAAACCTCCACTCAGCTGCCACCTAACCCACAAATTACCTAGGCATCTACATTTCTGCCGATAAATTCCCCTATATTTTTGCCAGTGGGTATGTATGGAGCCATCTAAATCCTGATGCCATAAAGCAGCTCAGGCCATTCCCCTGCCTGTCTCACCTACAATGTCCAATTCAGAGACCACTTTCCAGATTGGGCCCAGCACAAAATGGAAGTGGAGAAGCCCCACCAGAGAAAGAGTGAGACATAACTCTACAGTCCAGAGATTAGAGCACCCACCTGGCAGACCCAGGTTCCAGTCCCTGCTCCAATAACTATTTAATGACGAAATATCAACCTCAGCAGAGCATGTCTTATTAAATAATGGTAGATAAAACACATTCATAATATTTTTAAACAAGAAGGGGAAAATCCTTTATCAGAACTTCAATGGCAATGAAATACAATAATTCAGTACCTTTACCTGGTTTGACTGTTGCAATCCAATTATGGTTGGAAATTCATCCTTAATCTCATCTATAATTTCCACAACTGTTCTCTGAATTAGGTAAACTGAGGTAAAAAAGAAGCAATTAAAGATTAAATTAAAAACCTAATTAATTAAACAAAGTGGTGGTACCATGTACAAATAGGTAGGACAAGGAAGGTTTATGGGTTTAAATGGATCACAACCAGGATTATGTACCTTGTCCAGAAAATCTCTTTAACACCTGCCCACATATCCACCCGATTGGTTTGATGGGCATCTTGTGTCCTAGGGTGAGTTCCCCTGAGTCCTAAGCTCCAGTTACCTCACAAGACTAACTCAGATGAACTCTCAGATCACAAATGAGCACACCATGGCCCCCCCCACATGAACATCACCATATCCAGGCAGGGAGTCTTTATGACAGCACAGTGGATCTCTTAGGTACCCACTTAGCTTCTGATGCTCTGCGGATGTGTGGTGCCCAAGGTATGATCCTATCAGGAAAAAAATCATCCGTACTTTTCACAAGTTGCCATGTAAATGATCACATTTCTTCTAAGTTGTGCACAAGGATACACTGTTTTTACATCTTGCTCTTCTGGTATCCTAAATCCATGGGCTTAGGGCTAAACAAAATACGTCTCTGATTTCCTTTGTCTTCAGGTTCAAGGTAAACAAACAAAAGTCCCTTAGTCCTTTCCTTAAGTTTTAAGCAAGCAAGAGAACTCATAGTTTTTGTCCTTTGCATTAGACTGTTTCTCTCATTATAGCTATGAGCCTTTCCATCAGTCAGCCAGTGATTTATTATTCCTTTTCTTATTATATGCACCAGGTTGGCTCCTGGGAAACTAATAGGCTCCAGCTGCTTCTAGTTCCTTCTGCTCTTCTCTCTAAGATAAGGAAATACCCAAGTGTCAAGATACTAATGTTGGCCACTACCAATGGAGCCCTCAAACGTGCCAAAAATATATGTTTAATTCACGTGATTCTTAATATGGCTGCATTGGTTGCCAACGTAAGAGAGACCAGAAACAAAACATTGCCACATTTCTGAACTAGGGGTATTTGTCAGCTGTCTTTAATTAGTATAGTTTATAAACCCCTGTGTTTAATACTGAGAGGTAATGTTCAGCAAGACCACAACAATAGTGATGCCTTTGGACCAGATGCCAGGATGGCTGGTGCCTTGCCACTGTTAGTGAGAATAGTGTTCCTACTGGCCCATATAAAGCCCCATTTACTGAGAAAATGGGGGGTTGAGAATTTCACCCATTTTCCTTGAAGTATTGCAGAATATATATTATTTATTAATTCAGATTTGCACTATAGGGTATCACTGAGGTGTTGTGCATCAAAGTCTGCAGTTTGGGTGGCTTGGAGGAAGGAAGGAACACCATGCTATGGCTTTTAGTTCCAAGATGTTCATATGATGTTTTAGATTGTCCTGAGACCAAGAACCTTGCATTTGCAAGTGATTCAAGTGGGGCACACCAGCCTGTCCCTGATGTGTCTGTGCCCAGTGTCATTGGGGAGGGGACCAAGAAGAGTATCAATTTTCTTACGTTCAGCAGGTCTATCCACTCACTATTCCAGTTCTTCAGGATGCAGAGTGGGACTGAGACTCATTTGGTTATAAGGTGGCCAGATGAAAGTCAGACTGTCCTTCGGCAGCGATGCATAGGTCACTAGCAAAATCTGGCAAGTAGTATCACATACATCCATGTAGATATGTGGCCAAAGAGACCCAGACATGTACGCACTGCAACTATCAATCTTGTCTGCAGGTCATATGTCATTGACTTGACTGAAGGTACACAAACCTATCTTCTGGCAGGAAAGCTTTTGCTAAACTAGAATTGAGCATAGCTCCTATGCACTCTATCATCTGCATTGGTATGACAGACAAATTCTCATAGTTCATGTGAGATGGAAGGGGGTAGTTTTTAATTATTGAACATCTACTACTTTGGTTTTAAAAATTACTAAAAATATTTAGTTCAGAGAAACAAAAAATGGCAGGCCAGCTCGGACTAATTGTTTGTCTTACTACAAACTTGGGGGGTGTGGTTACCACCACTGAGTCACAGGTGTTCTTTTAAATACTTTATGGGACACCATGATTAAGACCAAGAAAAATAATCACAATTATTAACCAATGCTATTTTATAATTAAAGAAAAGAATAGGAAAACATTAAACACAAATGACTGAACACAAATGATAAACTGGTTACTTCCATTACAATTTTTTTCTATATGTCTCTTTGTGTAGAGCTTTTAACAGAGATAGTACTCTGGAGATTTTAGGGCAGATGAACCTGGCAGTTTATAGTTGGCAAAGTCAACAATCTTAACTACATTCTATGAAACAGAAGAAAACATTTAAATCAGTTACTTAGAAGAAGCCATTTAAGGAGTTGTATTGAGACAAGCCAATTAACCAATATTAAACATTTTAAATTTAATTAAATCCTACTTTTTTGTTTACCAGTGTTTAGTCCTCCTCTCCTTTCCAAAAATACATTTTAACCAGTTGGTGATTAACAGGAGAAACTGTTAGTCTTAATTTATTTCAGTATTCCAACAAAATCATTATGAGACTTTTATATCTAATCCCTGGCAGTGTTTTAGTTAACTTTTTCTTACCAATCCATCCATGTTGAAGTCTTGGGGAGGTTTCCTTGGGTTGGTTTCTTCTTGATTCTTCTCTAAAAGAAGAGGAGTGCTTGTGGCACCTTAGAGACTAACATGGCTGCTACTCTGAAACTTGATTCTTCTCTGTTTTTCATATCTGTCTGTGGCAGCTTCCTTTTAGTGGTGGAAAGGCTAAACTGAGGAGTGCTTGCTTTCTAAACAGAGTAGCCAGGGGTGTGAGGTGCTCACTTGAGAATTTTGTATACCCTTATCATTATTTTGATGAAACTATATGAAAACACACCTCTTTAATGCTTGTTCAGATTTAAGTTGGTTACTGTTATTCTTTTATTGGCTCTATGCCTTTGGGGTTGGCTTATATGATACTTTCATCTCCTAAATATGCGGTCTTTCTAATATGCAACATTTCTTTAATAACTCTCTCTGTGGGTGTATATAAATATGTGAAGATTCAAATAACTTTTAAAGTTAATTTTAGCTTTTTTATTCAGTTCATTTTGTGAGATTTTACTTTTATTAGAGTTTGACAGGAAATGAAATTGTTTTTAAAAAGTCCATTAGTTTATTTTCTTTATTTAAAAGTTATTAGTTCTCAAAACAGTATTTTAAATTTAAATAACTCTAAGAAAATCTTTAGCCTAAGCTGTTAATTAACCATTACTGTATTCTATACCTAAATGGCTTCTTACATTAATAATTAATCTAGCATTAAATGACCTTGCTCTATGTTTGTACATAAAACATTTTATGATTTATATAATATCAGACAGTTATTATATGAAAGTTTTCATTTAAATACAAAATATTTATAAATATACACATTAGTAGAAGCTTATACCTTCTAAGCATTTGAGAAACAACAAATGTTATCACCTCTAAGTGGAAATGAGTTGGAAGTAGCCAATAGCTTCTGTAAAAATTGCCCATCATAAGTGTTCTCCAGGTTTAAAGAATGAAAACTGTAGTGTGTTTACAAAAGAAATGAATATCACTAAGGCTATTTCTAGAATTCTTTGAGTGGGTTTAAACTCAGATTTTTCTTTGGAAAAAAAGAAGGGGGAAAGGAGGGTTAGCATAGGCCCACTTTACCTCTAGATGTATTGCTCTGATAACACAAACCTACATTCCTTTCACACTCAGTTTTCTTCCTAAAAGTGTTCATACAGATTGATGTTTGCTTGTCCTTGGGAGCTAGAAGCAGAAACCTTCTGGAATTTCTTTGACTAGCTTTAACATTTTGTAACATACAGTAGTTAGCTAAGCATGTGTATTGTTATATTTCCAAGCATCTTGACTATAATATTCTTGTAGCTATTTCTTAATATTTAGTAAAGGTGCACACAAGTTTGTAATTACTTTTTAAAAAGTTATATTTATTAATATTATTTTTTGCAACAGTATTGAGATCTCTCTCCCCCATTCATTAGGAGTCCTAAGTGGGAGAACAGGGAAAGGAAGTGATCCAGAGCTGTTTCAGCCTCCATTTGGGACCTGCTGGTGACTTACATATGAGTAGACATGAATTCTCCATTTCCTTATATGAGTCCTACTATGGCCAGACACTTAGTGAACACTTTCAGTGCTGGAGAGAGTGAGAAAGGCAGAGCCCTGTATTGGTAATGGCTGGCCCCACTGTGCATTTTAGGTACTTCCTGCGAGCCAGAGGGATGGCCATGTGGAAGTATGCAACCTGGAAGTCAAAAGATGTGAACTAATTTTGAGGTTGGAGTGATGGGAATGATGGAGGCAAGTGTTATGATCCTGAACATGAGACAGTATATATATTTGCTGAGTCCCTCAGGTCTAGCATAGGACAAAGATGTCTTTTTTCTTTGGAATAAGAAAATATTAACACTACTTCTCCTGTACTCTTGAGGAACCTTCTCTGGAGCTCTAAGCTAAAGCAAAGAAACCACTTCTGTTTGCAATAAGCTCTTGTGAGTCAAGTCTCTGAAGAGCGATAGAGAAGGGGGGTGGGTGTGGAATCAAACTATATGGGGTAGCCATGGGCTATAATCTCCAGTACCCATCTGTCTGATGTTAACAGAACCATGCCTTGTGGAATGGAGCAAGGTGGCTTCCAGAGGTTGTGCTCTGTAGACTGGTTCCTATGTGCCTCCCAACTCTCTCATCAAATTTGCTCATGAGTCATCATGGTAGAGTGTGGGACAGAGGTCAAAGAGGCTTGATGCCCCTCCCTTGTTGTATCTCGGGCATTCCCAGCATGTACTCCATCTATCTGTGGTAAGATGGGGTATGCAGCCTCTGCTGGTGCAATGGTTGAGGGAGGTACACCTTCCAATAGGGTTGAGGTGTGTAGGTTCCCAGAGGGGACAGGGTTGCTATGAAAACTTTCAGCGAACATAGGGTGCTATCAGTCTGTTCGCTGAACAGCTCCAAGCCCTCAAAGAGCAAGTCTTCAGTCGTGTCTTAAATCTTGTGAGGGATACCTGAGGCTTGGAGCCACAGCGCTGTCTGCTTAGTCACTATGGTGACCATAGACCTGGCTGTGGTGTCAGAAGCATCAACTGCTGGCTGTAAAGCTGTGTTGGCCACAAGCTGGCCTTTATTATGTCTTTCAGATTGTATCTGCTTTTGTGAGGGGGCTTGGCCAGGAAGGGTGTCACCCGTTCTCATGTTAAAAAATCATATTTGGCCAGAAATGTTTGGCAGTTGCCCACCCTCATCTGGAGCAAGGCTGATGAGAATTCCTTTCTTACAAACAGATTTAAGCATTTGGGCTCTTTGACTTTGGGCATATTCTTGGTGAATCTTGACTTCTTGACATCCAAGAGTGTTGGGGTGGGTGTAAGAATACTCGGATCTCAAGGAGGATATCTGACACCATTTTTCAACATGTTTCACCACTGGTATTATAGTGACTGATATTTGTTACAAGGCTCAGATCTAGGATGTCTTCATTCCAGTGACTGAGGTCGCACTCGCAAAGTCACAGGAGAGGGGACCTCCTCTTCC